ATTGGCCAATGAAAGCATTCCCCTCAAGCTCCTGCTAGGCTGGGGGGGGTGGAGGAAGTCAGGGGGGTGATTTAACCTTGAATTCTCTGCTTAGAACTTGGTCTCAAGCATCCTCTGTCATTTAGGGCCTTTAAGCTGCTAGAGTGTATGGCCAAGGCCAGAGTGTCTTTTTGATGGACTTGAATGTTTCTTTTGCTAATCAGGAACCAAGAAGAGAGTCACCTTAAGAGAACCATGGGTAAGAGCTGAGTTTCTTGGCGATATTTGCTTTAGTTGAGTCAGTTTAAGGTGTGTGGGCCCCAGGAGTCCGATGGTACGGTTTTCATAATCCGGCTAGATATACAGCTATTTCGAGAAAGGTTGTCGGAAAAAATGTGCACGCGATAATCCCGAAAGGTAATGTAGGATATGATCAATATACTGTTCCTGACGACTGTAGCTGTCGAACCTACTTTTGTTGCTTTCCTTTAGCATTCACGAACACATTTCCATTGCCTTTCGTGCCAATTCTTTCAAATTTCTTTGAAAAACAGAGAACTCAAAACCACCCACAATGCCTTTCATGATTGTCGCGTGCACTTTTCCCGACAACATTTCTCGAAATAGCTGTATATATTTCTATATTATTTTCATGTAGTGTCAGCTCGAAGATATTAGCTTGTTAGCTACTCTAAAATTCGAGTATAAATAAAGTTTTATTTTATGTTATGTTATTTTTCGCTGTTACGATTTCAAGTGAACTAGAAAATCAATTTTAAAAAATCTTATTACTGTAGTTTAGCCTGATGGTAAAAGAATAAATAAATCAACAACACAATATTATCTAGTAGTAGCATATCCACGAAATAGCTCTTCGTCTAGCAATGCAATCTGAGAAATTATGGTTTTTGAGGAGAAGGGAAAACCAGAGTACCTGGAGAAAAATCTCTCGGCTCGAAGCAAGGAAAAGAACCAACAACAGACTCAACCCATGTTTGGTGACCCACATACAGCAACAGCAAACTCAACCCATGTATGGTAAACTTGATCAAGGCTACAGTTTGGTTCCTCCTTTTCTCTTTATCACTACCTTAGATGTATCCATGGTTTCAATCTCCTTTGGCATTTGGTCTGTGTTCATGTTGTGTCTCAAGGGACCTTTGTTGTCGTTCTCATCCTCTGAGTCCCTTCTCTTGTTTTCGGTCTCAGAATAACGGGATTTCTTGGCCAAGTATCTCAAGCAAAGATGTCTTAACACTTCTCTCCTCTAGCAAAAAAGAAAAAAAGAAACCTTTAACATTTTAATGCTTGTTTGAATTACTACTTTTCAGCTTTTTTGTTGAACATAAAGTACCTGTGGTTTTTTTCCTTTTTCCAATTATGTGCAATCTCTTAAATTGCTATCACAACTGCGACGATCATATGAACGTTTAAATTTGTATTTCCGCAGATCACATCAATCTTCATTCCAAGAAAAGATCGTGTTTTGTTCAAGACTGATACCAAGCCACGCCGTATTTATTTCATTTTAAGTCGCAGCGTCTCTGCTAAATCGGTGTGTTATTGAGAGAAAATCTGCGCACTTTTTTTGCTTCAAAGGTATGCGACTATCTTGGTAACAATAACAGTTTTGATACCTGCTGCTCATCTTTTTAACTTTCAATGTTGTCCCAGGCTTCTTTTTTATCATCTTCTTGAAAAATAGCTAAATCGTTAAAGAAAATTGTTTGAGTCGTAGACCAGAGTGAAATAGATGACACACTATAAGCAATGAGTTAATTAGATAATCTATAAACATAGTTCGAGTTGTGGTAAAAATGTTTTTATCCAATCCTGTCGTTAAGAAAAGCATTACTAACCAAGATAGCTGCAGGAATGCACATTGTGAGCAGACGTTTAATGATCCACCGTACTGGAAGAAGCACGTACAGAATGTTAAATGGCGGTGGAAGAACACCTTTCTTGTAAATCCAATTTAGCCACAGCTTTGTTCTTGTAAATTTCCACTCGGTGTCCAAGTTTTGCTGTACACCATTTAAAAATCATATCAGTAGGATCACCTTATCAATTATTCCTCGAAGTCCAGAACCATGCATACAACGGAGTCAGTTACAACAAAGTGTTATATTTGTATTTCGAATCGGAACCGAGTCACATTCCTGCCAAGCCTCGACTTATTTATTTACAGCGGTTACCACTAACGCACGCCCTCAAAGGTTTTTTCTTCGGTTTCTTCGGACTTCAATCAACCGTTACCATGGTTTTCACGCGTTGGCCGAGAGAAAATTCTTTCCCCGTTTCTCGAGCACTCGGAGGAACATGTCGGCCTTATAAACCGTTTTTGCAATATTTTGCCACAGGACCTGACACCGGTTCATGTCAAGATTACGAGGAGTACGAATTTGTTGAGTGTTTGTCGGAGGAAACTCAAATTTTCGGCTTATTTACACACTGTAAGTTGCAACCACATAAGCTTTCTCAATACACGCTCGCAACTCGAAATCATCATTCAAAATTATTCTTGTAAGTCTTCGCCCTTCATTCAGCGAAAAGGGAATCTTCTCTGTCAGGTAGCGTGAGAAAACCATGGAAACAGTTGATTGGCGTCCACGAAAACTCAGGTTTCAACAGACAGAAGAAAAACCCTTGGAGGGCGCGTGTTAGTGGTAACCGCTGTAACCAAGCAATAGCCCATGTTCGATATATCAAAATTCTAACATGACTTCGAGGCTTTCCGGTGATATTTCTATATTTGGTTTTGGTTTCAGGTGCTCGTCTCCTCTGGGAATACGAGACAATGGACTCAGTGCAATTTTGTCCGTTAAGCCTCGGATTCATGTTAGAATTTTGATATATCGAAAGTGGGCTATTGAGATCGCTTGTAAGAATATGCTTAAGCGTTTGTTCATTAAGTACCCTACAATTTCTGCATAATTTAAATATCACAAAGCGTCTTTTCTGAGGATATATGCAAATCAGTTAAACCTAAAATGAAGGTCATTGAGCATGCGCACATCCGGGGATACGAAGGCGTGTTTTCTTTAAGAAAAAAATCACTGGTCTGGTTTACCAGTTCTACGAGTTACTGAGCGACTTGATTCATTTTCTTTTTGTTTTCTTTTTTTGGCGATATAATATTACAAAGATGTCTGTGTTGTAGAGGTTAGGGTTAATTGTCTGGTCTGAATTTTTGATGTTTGGGACTAAGAGAAGTGACTGTATTATGCAGTGTCTCGAAGTGTGGCTCGAATGTATGATGAATCTCTATCCGGAAAGGTTTGCACTTCACTTATAGGTAAAAAAGTGGTGCACTAATCTGCTAGTACTGGGTATCAGTTCGACCTTTAGCCTGAGAAATCAACCGACATTTCGCGACGCCACCCCCTGCTTTCCACGCAAAATGACGTCTGAGAAACGAGTGCAGAAATTCCATACTGATGACGTGTCACTAACCAGATCTGGGTGGTGCCTCTGATTGGTTGGAGCAAATTTACCAGGCGGCATGATCAATCGGAAGTACTACCCCGATGTGGGTAGTGACGTGTCATCAGTATAGAATTTCTGCGCTCGTTTAACTGTAGAGCGGGAGGTCGCCGGTTCGATTCCTAGGGCGATCAATACTCAGGGTCTTAAAAAAACTTTTGCCCTGACGACATAAAAGGGCGCTCCCGTCTCCAGTAGCAGACGTAAAAAGAGTGTCCCCAATTAGTACTTTCGTGCTCAATATATTGACACTCAAATAAAGTGCATTTTCTTTTTCTCAGACGACATTTGTAAAATTATAAATTGTAATTTGTTTACCCACGGAGCACTTAGGAGTTCAAATGAACTCGTTTAAATGTGTCAGTGCGTTCCAGATCGAATTGGAATTTGGAAGTGCTGGTTTTGAGGAGAGGGGAAAACCAGAGTACCCAGATAAAAACTTCTTGGAGCAGTGGAGAGAACCAACAACAAACTCATCCCACGTATGGCTTCGACGCCGGGATTTGAACCCGGGCCACATTGGTGGGAGGCGAGTACTCTCACCACTACTCCACCCCTGCTCCTCCACGCGGGAAACCAGTTGTGGCTTCGCGAAATATCGGCTGTTTTCTCAAGTTATTTGACCTTGAGCTACTTCCAAAAGGGAACTGATTTCGATACTAACCGTTACACTCGTATAGCGCTGGTTGAGTATTGCAATCAGCATATTAAGAGCCACGAGGACAGCTACAATGTTGAACGCACCAAACAGGGTCATCCCTGTTTTCCATGTGGCACCGTAACCTGACTCGTTGATTTTGAAACTACTCTCGTCTATTTGACCAAACAGCGTCCAAAAGATCGTGTTCATACTGCTTCCAAATCTGCAAGTGGAAATAGTGCGAAGTATAAAAAATCTTAAATGACCACGGTAAATTTCAAAACTGAATGTCTTCAATCCTATGGACAAATGTTCTTGGGACAGTGATGCAGTATTCATTATATTTATTATTTCAAGGTGCATTCTTTTCAAAATTTTCTTGCAAATCTCTCTCTCCCCATCCTATACAATGTTGAACATTGGATATACGTTTCCAGCGTTGTTTGTAGGGTTAAGGGAGGGGTTGGGAATGCGGAACCGAAAAATGCCCCACAAATGCTAATGTGTCCCAAGACGTTTGCCCATCATTGTAGATGCCCGTGTCAAGTCAACTAAATGGTCTGTAGTGTTAGAATCTAAAAGGAAAGCCAAAACAAGTTTCATTTTTCCATACCTTTGCAAGATCCTCACACTTTATCATATCATTTTTAAAACCATTTTTTTTTTTGGTGAAGTGTGATTTAGACAAAGCACATACATTTAATGATCACGACAAGGGAACGGAGCGTTATACATCGATCATACCTTTCTAGGTCCAGAGGAATTGTTTGATTTGTTCCGCCCTGGTTCTGAAGAAAATATTCTCTAGCTTTCTGATACTGCAAGTACAACTTAGTGAAGCTCACAGCAAATGCCAGAAAAACAAAAACGAAATATAAAAAGAACTTGGCCACATCTATTAGCATTGAATGAATGCATGTAGCAGTGGACCGGTGCTGGAGCTTGCTTGAATGAATGAGAAATTACGGGTAAAGGCGATAAGGATTCCAAGAGCCATAAAGCTTTCGGAAGTTAACAGAACAGAGTAAGAACGGTTTTCGGCGTGTTTCGACCATTCAGCAGAATGTAGTGTGTTATCCAGGGCCACTCGGCTCGTCCACCAAATGATGTAGTGAATAACAAATAGCGTAGTTGAGACTACAGCCAGAAAGTTCCAGTAGTAAGAAAAGAAGCGAGATCTTCCTTGTTGGAGAATGTCTTTGACAATGTCTACGAGGTAACCGATGACAAATACAAAAACTGCCCAATCTAAGGGACGGAATATAGAAAACCAAAAGAAAAAAAAAAGAACAATATAATCAAACAATCTTTTTACTTTCTACTCATGTGACATTTTTAGATTCGCAAACAAAGTTTTAAGCAAACTTTCGATCTTGTCAAGAATTCGTCTTAAGCTCTGAGGCTAAGGTGCCAAATCACACAATGTTACCGTCTTTGAACGAACGGTTTAGTCATTCGCCAATTGAAGGCGAGATTCCTCCCTCAAGAAACAATTCAAAGGAAAAATAGATCAGGGCCTACAGGTTTCTTCAGTTCTGCTTAACTGTACAAACTGTTTATTTTGCGGTTACAATAAATTGTTAATTTCAATTTGAACGACTGGTTGTTGCAAAGAAGCCTTGGTGCAAGCTTATTACCAAATTTTGTCTAATTAAAAAATTTTAGATTTCGATTATTGCATTCAAACCATACTACAGTTATTCTCCTCTTTTTCTCGTTCGTACCAACAATGGTGTACGCAAGAAAGGCAGAGTGGAATGATGTGATAGCCAGTAGGACAAGAAACGTTTGGTGAGAACCACAGAAGATGAGGAACTTTGCACAGGGGGAATGGAACATTCTGGACACTTCATGTCTTGGAAAGCAGCTTTCAAAAGCAAGCCAAACTATAAACACCAACGGATACAGCACGGTTGTAAGAAGTATTAGCACTGCTTGTTTCAAGGCACTTTTCTCCAGGAACGAAGAAAAAAAAAACTGCCGACAGCAGCTCTAATTGCCGCGATATATGTGTTGCGTTGGCCGTTAAACTTTCAAATCCTCGAAAGCTATTCATCATAACTAACATTTGTAACAAGCCGTAATGATGATGACGATGATATAGTCAGCTGGATACACAATGTGCTGCCTCGAGTATCAAAACTAAATCAAAGAGAAGCATATTGAAACCTGTGTGTGCATACTCCCTACAAGACTTTTCCTAATGGATGAGCCAATCATGACAGTATAATTCATCCAACCGGATAATGAAGTGACGAACGTATTAAGGTAAAAATAAGAATGTCTCTCATACCTTTCTATTTGTTGTAGAAATAGCAAATTCTAGCATATTTAAGGCATTTTCCTCGGAATTTGGGGGCAATTCTCCTTTGTTTATTATCTGCATCACGCATCTTATTTCTTCCATTGTGCGACATTCATTCAAGAGTCCCACAGCGAATCCTTCACAGCCATCACTAAGCTCAATATACTCACTACTGAACTCGTATTCTTGCGCAGCTGTGTCCCGAAGCTCTTTGCTCAAAGCGCAGGCGCGGTGAATGGGGTCCGGACCACTCTGTACGTTGTGAAGAAATGACTCGCCTATAAACATGGGGCTGGCAAGAGCGCGGTATCTGTTTGAACGATACACAGATGGGCCAAACTTCTCGCCAGCTGTTTCTTTAGAACGTTTTGAATACCAGATATTATTTGGGTCGCTTATGGTGAGTCCATGATCCAACAGCAGCTTGATAAGTTGAAAATCCTGCAAACAGGCCGCAAGGATCAGCGGGGTTACATAGGCGGTTTCACTTTGAAAGGAAAACGCTGGTGATGATGGCTTGGAGTGGCTTGCATTGAACTGAAGAAGAATCCGCACGGTTTTTGTGTCACCATCATGTACCGCTTGTAGCAAACCAACCTCTAAGCTAGCCCCTCCATTCAATAAGACTCTAACCATGTGGGTTCGAACGGAAACATCCTTTATATCTGCTGCCACTTGTAAAGCGGTTTTACCCGAATCGTATAGACGATCAAGGTCGTAATTTTCTTGAAAGGAGCTTAAAATGCCCCTTACTTTATCTAAATCTCCTTTCTTTATAGCGCTGAAAAGCTTATGTTGTGCTTTGTCAACGGATGGATGAATGCTATCCACTAGTAGCTCTTCAAGAAAAATATCTTTTATATCCATCGCAATTTATTAGTAACACGGTACAACGATACCTAGACAACACTATACCACCCGCTTCTGTTGAATATATTTTCATTTTAGCCAATAACATCTGATAGCATCTAAAATGTAAATAAATTTGTCAGTTTAAAACTCAATACAGCGTAACTAAATCGCAATGAACCTGTTTGTATACAAGTTTACCTAATCTTTTGGTTATTATTTATATAATGACCAAAAGACGCAAGCAAACGTGCCAGTTGAAAAGGATCCGGTCGATTATATAAACAAGGAAAGCTTTACCACCGTAATCAAGAAAAGAAAAACATTTTGTCAAAATTTAGAAAAACACGATACCCCATACTTGCCGTACTAAACAATACAACTTTGGAGAACTATACATAGCTTTGTAGGTAATAGAAATGAAAAGAACCCTAATGACAAACTTACATTTTGTAGCACGACGTTCAACAATTTGCCTGACGTCTGCCAGATATCGAACTTGAAAGTGTGCATTCAATGTTTTCATTGTTGATTATTGAGCAATTTTTAGAAGCATTACGAAAATATCAATAATTCATGGCGAAATGCAAAACAAACCCACGTTCAATAATTGTCGTAAATCTGACAAGAAAATAATTTACTTGCCATTTTGTGACTTAGGTTAATCCAAAACCTTCAAAGTATACACAGTAAACAAATTAGAAACCCCTTTGTAAACTCGGTGTTCGAGTTTTTCAAGTCTTCGTATATTGTAAACCAGCAACTGTAATCTTTGCTCATTATTTTTGGAAGATATTAATAAATTAACAAATTTGCAGAGACCACTTTTTTTCCATTGCGGGAAAAAACAAAGAGAGCCAAGCTGCTATTGTTACATCTCATCGTGTCTCGTGACTCTGTTGAATCCGCATACAGTAAAAACCCGCCACTGAGAACCTGGTTTTTAAGAACCTGCTAGGCTAATATTTGCCAGTTATACCTCATCTGTACAAGAACCTGTTTAGCCTAAAATTTGAAAAAGGTTCTTATTTTCTAAAATCTATGAAAAAAAATTCTGTACACTTGAATGGGCAAAACGACTTCAAAATTCAGTGCTTCAGTCTTTCTTGTCATAATCATTTTTACAGAACAAACTAATTTGGTATGCAAATTAGTTTTATGTAACGAATAAGTTCAATACCACTAAATACTTAAAGCTACCATGCCTTTTTTTTTTTTTTTTTTTTTTTTTTTTTTTTTTCAGAAAACAACAACCTATATAGCCTAATTAAATTTGTGCTAATAACCATTTATGTAAGAACCTGTTTAGGCTAATTTGGGAAATCGCGAGTTTTTACTGTAGTCGCTCGAAGTTTGCAAGTCGAAGCATTTTCGGGCTGTACATAAAAATGCATGTACATCGTAAAGTTGTGTTAAATCCTATGCTTCGTTGATTTCTTAACAGCTACAGAGCATTTTCACAAGGCGTCACGTCCCCATAAGGCTGTTCCAGAACTATCAATGAAACTGCGGCAAAGTTGGTGTTCCAAACCATTCCTGTGGGAGTGTAACCTTTTTTTATGTAAAACCTTTACTTTTTCCTAATAAAAATAGGCCATTTCCGAGTTCATAAAACTCTCACTTTCAAATAGAGACTACGTGCAAAACCTTTCTCAGGATAAAGAGTTTTACAGTATTTGCATGGGAATAAAAATTCACTTTTATATTAACGGCTTCGCGCATCGAAACGGAGGCTTAGGGCCCGTCGAAAATAGCCTATTTGCATAGCTGCTGACCAGATAAGTGAAAATGCTCTATACACAAGGGCGGATCTAGGGGGGAGGGTACAGGGGGTGCGCACCCCCCCTAAAACGATAAACCGACGTTTTCGAAAACATGCGTTTTCTGATGCCCGAAAACGCCGTTTGCGTGTGGACAGGAGGCTAAAACTAAATTTAAAAATAATCTCCGTTTTCAAAGATATCCGAATATGCGCCATCTGCAGCCCATTTAGAACGATACAGGAAAGCGCAGGAAAGTTGCGATGAATATTTTATTTCACTTGCGAAAAATTGTAGCAAGCAGTTACGTTCAGTTTTAGTCATGTCTGCTTTTCAGATAACGAGACATTTCAAGAAAACCGATCATTTTCTGGTGAAAAACAGATGAAGTATTGCCTCCATTCCGAGAAAGGTTTTCAGTAAGAAACGTTTCAAACCATGAACAAAGGTCCAAGGCTTTTTACTGCTGGTGGAGAGGTCGCGGATTTTTTATTCAGATTACTTGACGATATCCTGCGCTACGTTTCGGCATTGTATAAAAATATGCTTTTACCATTTGATATGATAACCTTTCTCACAGTCAGTTGGAAACATGGCAGAGATTAACATTCCTACACTCGATCTGAAACCGGGAAAGGCAGTACAATAGTAGCCTGTGTACAGGCGTCCCCCCATCTGTATACAAGCTATACAACAGAAATCTTCTATTTTATTTTTCTCGTGATTTGTTTAATAGGTTCTTGTTTTACGTACAAATGAGGCATTAACTATGTGCGGATCTCATGGGCAAGTTTCAAGAGAAGGAAAAGACTGTACACCGCTCTGTTTTACATTTGATTGAAGAATTCAAGCCCTTTCTATGTACGATAAAAGAGTTTTTTGATATAGAGTATGAAAATTGAATATCCCTTATATTAATCTTCCCTTAATCTAATCTTTAATTTTTATGGTTTTCGGTAGAATCAACGCAAGCATTTTTGGGTAAGTAATACTTCTACGCTGTGCACTAAAGTAAACTTAGATAACGAGTCACTGAAAACACAAGCAAAACTTTTAATCGCACACGAGTTTTCCCAGCAGCCTTCAGCCAACCAAGAGAGTGTGCATGTAACCGCCTAGAGCTGTCACTGTCCTTTCTCTTGATCAAAATTTCACTGAAATTTACCCCAATAACTCGAATTCTGGTTCTTGTAACTCCACTTGGATGCCATTTCATTAGCTCTTCTTGTTGTATAATCGGTAAACCCACTAAAAGTAACACTAGAGCAATTAGATTTTGATTGGTTCAATGAACAGATAACTTATTATCATAAAAAGCATAATCATGTTACCCTTTCTGATAAAATAAGTTAAATTTGCACTGTATATTAAACTGAAGAGCTGAAAAATCAGTAGCTATTTTAATTATTAAGATGGCAAATTTGGCACTCAGTCGAACACGATTACTCGAACCCTCGCTAACTCGAACTGTTTTTCGTTCCCTTCAGAGTTCGAGTTGAAGGGGTTCCAGAACCTCGTTCCCAGGGCCCTCTCCTACTCGGCCCCGAGTAGGAGGGGAACCTGTGAACTAGGTTGGGGGCTCTACTGTATATCTCGTCTGTCTTTGATTGGTTCTGATTTTATGCAAAAAATAATAATTACTAACCGAATTTCGCTTCTTTTAACTAGAGCACATTAAGGTAGAGATGACAAGTTTACTTCAAACTATTTTAAAATGGGCAAACTCTACTCGCGCATTATTACAGGAAAGGATGTGCTTCTTAATCATTATCTTTGTCATAATCCTAGTGCTTCACTGTTTCGTTTGTTATTATTATTTCTTGAACTTATGCCCTGAGTATACTCATCCCGAGCCGTTACGTTATGCTGTCCACAAGGTGATGATTTTTCTATAGTTGTCTCAATAATAGTTTCTTCCATGTGCTTTCTTTCTTTGTCCTTGTCTACTTGCTCTTCACATACAAGAATTTGATTATCTCTTTCTTCTGGCTGCTGTTGTTTTTCATCATTTTGTTGTGAGTCTTGGTCTGGCGTTAGTACATGTTCGTCTTCCTTATCTCCTAATCTCTGTTTTTCTCGATTATAATCTTCGACTTCCTCCTCTCCTTCATGTTTCTCTAAAATTTCTCCTCCTTCTTGTTTTTTTGGTACCTCCTCAACTGTGTTAGAAAATTTGCTTTGCTCTTCGTCAAAACTCACTGAAATCTCACTAAATTTTTGGTTACCGTCACTTTTGACACTGTTATCATCATTTTCTTGTTTGAATCGTTTCGTAACATTCTGAGTATCCGTATCTGGTAATCCTTCTACGTTACTATGGTCACCATCCTCAGTATTAGCGGAGCTCCGCGCGCGAAGCGCGCCTGCGGAGCACCATGGGTAAATAAATCTACCCATCCCAGAAAATTTGGTAATCACGTGACCGACCGACCGACCGTCCGTCCGCACCACAGGCATACCAATGTTTACTCTCACACTTTCTTAGTTACGTTAGGAGCCCAGGAGAAAGCTGACTGCACATCAATGTTGTCATCAATTGACAGCTGTCAAAACAGGGTATCCGCTGACCAGTATCACCTGACCGTATCGCGGGCTCAGGTGTCGACCCATCAAGGTCGAGTGTTTTTGAAGTTATCCGCTGACAATTTACTCGTTTTCAAGTGATCGCAGGCTCACGTTTACTTTTTTTTAAATTCATATCAAATATGTTGTGTTTATGTCAGTATCGTCCCGCACTATTAAGATTTTGATTTCAAACTGACCTCAGACGCAAAAATTCAGCCAGTTTTTTTAAAATACAGGCGGGGAAGACCTTTTCTTACCATGGTCACGTGTTGATCACGCTCCACGTCCAATTTTTATGCTCTTATTGGTTAAAATTTGACAGGTGAGTTCATGCATAAAATTTATGCAGCATCTTGAAAGTTGTTTACTTTGACAGCTGAAGCTGACAGAGTTTGAGTCAACTTGTGATGTTTTTAACTGTCTTTTTCCACTGGATGTACAAAATGAAATACAGCTGCTATCAAGAGTGTTCTCTTATTCATGGCTGGTTTGTTTATTGGGTTTTTGGTTGAGAAATGCGTCGCTTGTCAAAGCCGTTAATCCGATTTCGGATGGCATCGTTTTTGTTTTTCACCTTGCTGAATGCGTACGAGAATTATAAAGGCTCAAGCGATCCTTGCCTTACTTGATAGCTTTCAGGAGCTGCATCTCGAATTATGGTAAGCCTGAGTAATTATTGTATTTAAATATAGTTTCATGAAGTCCAGCGGCGCAGTTTATGAAGCTAGTGTATGCACGTTTGTATTAAGATTTGACTGAGACACTGATCTGACCTAGTATGAGGTTTGATTTAAGCTTAAGCTTACAGAACTTTAAAAAGCCTTTAGTCGATATTAATTCACCGTAAATAGAAAGAAAAGACTTTCCGAAGAATATTTAGTTATAATTTTGGCTGTAGAAAGAAAGCTTTGAGCGATTTTCTTGTCGTGAGTTCATCTTTGAAAACAGCAAACACCGGGAAACCGGCGGCTTAAAACATAAACTTAATCTTTAATCTTACTAGTAAAGACTTGAGGATTCTTAGAGATACTTAAATACTCATTTGTTTTCGTGAATGAAAATTGTTGTCTCTGTAAATGTTCTACCGAATTATATTTCTTTATTGATTGTTGGTAGTCTCAAAAGTGTAATTTTCATCGCTTTGCCGTTTGTTTTCGCCGTTCAAAAACATCGCTTGCAGGAGTACTCAAAATGCCGAACGTATCAAACGCTTTTTAAGATTACACATCGTTATAAAACCATTAATAAAAAATAGACTCAATAAATTCTTTATCACGTTGAAGCGTAACTCTTTTAAAATTTCTTCGCAAATTTGGCGCTTGTCAAAAGTTAGAACCGGCTGGCCGTATAGATAATTTTGGAAATTTTTTGAACGGTTTCGCTAATTAAAAGTCCACGCTTGCTTCGATGGTCCTGAATATTGAATGAATTCAATTTGTCTTGAAAAATTGTGAAATACTGCATTTTGTACGAGGTCTGTATGATAAAAACAGCGCCTCATAGTACTCTTTCTCCTCAGATGTGGTGTATAAAAAAAAATAAATAAAAGATTGGTTTGCACGCACCCAGATTTATTGGCAAGAATTTGTAAACTTGTCGAACGCAAAAAATTCGACCTGATTTGTTTTCCAAGAATTTGTTTTCCACGCCTTATCTACTGTGATCAAGAGCCATTATTGCTCTTAAATGTGACCGAAGACTATTTTTTGGGTGTACATATAAGGCTATATCAACTCGATACAAGATTTGTTTCACTCCAAAATCACTTAGCTTTTTCCTCAAAAGTCACATGAATGTGCCCTTAAGTTAACTGTTTTGTGGAATACAAAATTATTGTTTGATTTAAGTTATAAATTTATCAATGGGAGCTTCGCTTTTAGCCGTGGCTAAATCTATATATTATCATCAACCATCGGTGAATGCTCGTAAGTAGACGACGCATTTTCGTTTTCCTTCGGTGTAACGTCGGCGTAACTTTCAACTGGGTTGTTAGACACGTGTTCAGCATCTGCCTTTTCAGCAATCGCTTCCTCCTCGTTTTTCTTAGATTCCTCGCATCTCATTCCATCGTTTTCTTGAAATGGCACTTTTTCGATCACCTCTGTATTAGTATTCGAGGACTAAGCGCCATACCGCTCTTCTACTGTGACAATTTGAACGTTGCTTGGAGAAGTTTGACTCGAGCGATTTGCTATTGTCCGTAAGAAATCCAGGTCTATTTTTTCACCAGTGCTGAGCCTTCGATGGTCATTTCCGTCTTTGTCGTCCTCCTTTTCCTTTTGTCGATAATATGCTCGCTTTTCTCTTTCATCTCTAGACCCTCGCCTTTCAGATATTACAGTCGAATGTGGGAATCTATTCACCGGAAGAGAATTGCGTGCGTTCTTGGTCCTAACTTTGTAGTCGGGAAGATAAGCATTCAGGTGATCAGAAACTGCAATAAAAGAGATTAAAACCTCTTACATAACCTTGCAAAATGAAATACTCTAACTTATGACAACTCTTTCAACTAATGATACTGCCCTGCATCATGGAGTTTATTAGGATCGCGGGATGAAAAGCGTTTGACATGTCCGGTGACACATAAACAAACAAATTTTTAAAAAGACACTCAACTCCCGTTGTTGCGATAACCTCTGGATCGTGGGTTAGTGTCCGTGGTAGCGAGAGTCCTCAATAGCAGGATTTTTTTTTCAGTCAAACGACTGTCCATACTATTGGGGTGTCCGTAGCAGCGAGGTGTCCGCAAGGCGAGAGTTGACAATAGGCCCATCTCTAGTTGTCCGTTTTAGGGAGCTGTCTGCGTTTTTATGGCCAGCCCTTCTTAGACACCCGAGGGTTGCTGCTACATCCCCAATCAAAAAAACCTTCGAACACTTACGATTTTCTAAGCTTGCACAGTGTAGACCCCTTGTCCCTTTGCAGTGTTGTTAACAAGTGCAGTTTGGGAAAGTCTCAGCTATTTTCAACTTTATGAAGGGGGAGGTGGGGAAAATCTACCAAATGTTCCAACCATTTTTGATATTTTTCTCGCAAAATAGCCTACCTTCTGAAGCCCGTTCTTTCAAATCTTCCAGTTCTTCCAGCTCTACTTCCATCTCAGCTAGCCAAACTACAGTCTGTTCTGCTCTTTCTTGAGCCATTCGCTGACGCCTATACGCAGCTTCGGCTCGCTGTTGGGCCGCTACTGTCACTTGGGACTGGGCACGAGTTTCTGGGAGGGTTCAAACAGACAAAAAGTACGCTATGTTTTCCACAGTCTAGTGCATGCCCCGTACTCCGTATTTGAAAATTACTTAGCTGAGGTCGGATTTTTGAAGGGCCTATGTCACTCTATTTGCTTTCTTTCTAAAAACTAAATTTATTTCATTTGAATTCCAAAAATAACGCTCCAGGTTTGTTATTTAAGAATATAGTTAGACCTTAAAGCTTTTTTCCTTCCCGTCGTCCAGGTTGCCTCGGATGGCAAGAGTGGAAATGAATAAAAATTTGGAAAAGTTGAAGTTTTCACCCCATTCCAGCATGCCTGCAAAACTCAATAAAATTTGTTTTATTTCTTCATTGAAACTCTTCAGGAGCATTTTGTGTATTGGAAAAGGCACTAGGTAATGACTTCAGCACAGAATTGACCTATAACAGCAATAGCCCCTTTACATAAAGGTTGACTACAACAAACATACTCTCTTAAGATACCGTCATTTCAACGTTGCAAAATCTTTGCAAAAAATATGTGTTCAAGAATCTCCACCGTAGGACATCCGGGTTTACGAAAAGATGACCTTTCGGGATCGTTTTTTACCTTACAGCTCTGGAAGAAAGGTCAATCAGGATTTAAAAACTTTCCAATATAAACGGTTCTTCTGCACCGCATTCCACAACATATTCCTCAATTAATGGTTCCAAGCCTAACCCTTACTCAAAAGGCAAAGAACTAGACCAGAATAATTGCGAGGCGTGAAATAGTCTGTTTAAGTGTCATTGTCTGAGAAAGTGTTCCAGGGCCCAAAAGTTGTGGTCAACCGATTTGGCTGAAACATGGCTCAGAAGTTGGGTGTGATGAGATATTTCAAAAGCCACTTTGGCTCACTCCTCTGACTTTTAGTTTTGAAGTTACAGGGGGGGTCTCATTTTTTGCCCTTTGAGCACCAAAAATCCAGTCTTCCAGGGGGCATTTTGAAAGTGCCATAAGACCCCACTGATAAATTGTGCTGCAAAATGAATTTGACCATGAACTCTACCATAACAGAGCTTTCAGTTTATGCATGAAACTTTGTCCTCAAGGTATTGCACAGAGAGGAGCCTGGGGCTAGAGTTTGGCCAAAATTGATGTTAAAATTACTACCCAAAATAGCCATTTTTCAAACTCTCAGTATATTCACCTGCCTTCTTGCATAACTTCCATACCTATACCACTGTTTACTTTAGTCACCCAATTATCAATATCAGTTGAGAAAAATTTGGCTTATTATGGTTTATTGAAGTTTTGGAACAAACACCTCATGCTCCTCTAGGGAGATGCAAAATGGAATTTTGAGCATAATTCAGGCCACAAACAAACCAAATTGTTGACAAGAAGCCCTTATTCAGTATTTGGTAAGTGAAAATGAATTGTCAAAGCCAAATCAGTTTCGTTGTTTAGAAATACACCGACTCTTACCTTAAAATTGATCTAAAACGGGCCTCTGATTAGCTAAACAAACGCGTGATTTAGCAAAACAACAAACTTTGATTTCTTTTCTTTGAAAACCTAGTAACCATCATAGAACACAAATGATAATGTTCTGACCTAGATATAACGATGTTTTTGCAAGATGCTAAAATTTTTCTTTGATTTATATTCAGTTTCATGTCATATTTCTAAGCATTACTCCAAGCATGGAAAGTCTCCATATTTTGTAAGGCTCATTTTTTTAAACGTTTTCCCAGATAAAGTTGGCTTAACAGAACGTTCGTTAACATATAATCTTCGTCTGACCTTGTAATGTTGTAAATACCCATCAGCAAAGGAGCATGACCATACATACTTAGGTTATACAAACAAATACGAGCTTCACTGGGCAGTATCGAGGGAGAGTTGGATAACAAAAAGCTTTTGATGCTTTTTTAAAGAAAATAACCCAAACAAAGCCTTGCATTGACATGATGCAATTGTTATTATATCAAATTAACTGGCCCGCCATTTTGGACTTGGAGAGTGTGGGGACTGGACCGAGTTCTTATCCAATCCTTCTCCCGTTTCGTGGTAATTTTTTTGTGTTTTTAATCAGGCTCCAGTTGTTCAAACGTTAAGTAGCGCTATCCAACGGATAAATCACTATCCATTGGATGGGTATGGGGGAAACTAATAAAAATTGCACTATCCACTGGATAGAGATTTATCTGGCCCCAGTTGTTCAAAATGTGGATAACGCTATCCACCGGATAAATGTCTATCCACTGAATAGTGCAATTGGTTTCCCTAATACTTATCCACTGGATAGTGATTTATCAGGCCCCGGTTGTTCAAAGGTTGGATAGCGCTATCCACCGGATAAATCACTATCCAGCGGATAAGTATTACGGAAATCAATTACGCTATCCGCTGGATAGTGATCTATCCGGTGGATAGCGCTATCCAACGTTTGAACAACTGGGGCCAGGTGGATAGCACTATCCAGCCTTGGAACAACCGAGGCAAGTGTGTTCAAAATTCTAGAAAGAAGTACTTGAAGGCTGTTTTCTATCTGCTTGAGATGTTTGTTTACATTCAGCTTATTGTCACGTGGCCACGCCTATCTTGGCAATGCGCAATTCAAGCCACCTTGTATTGAAACTCCACCGGTCTCCTTTATTTGCCCGTTTCTTCGAGGAAAAATCGTAAGAGGGCTTAATTAGCTACATAATTCCACAGGAATTTTTTTGGGGGGGAATTTTAGAAAATCTCAAGAATATTATAATTAGAAAAAATTGACAAATTCGAGAACTTGAATAGCAGTATATAAAGCAGAATATTGAATAGCAGTTTAAACACTCACCCGACATTTTGGCACCATTTCACACGCAAAAACGTTGAAAAAACGTTTTTATATTTTTTGGATTCCTACCAATAAGAGAGGGCTCAGTCCACTCACATTCTACAACAGTGTCTAGAGTACTGTCCACTGAGCACAACAAATCAGCAGTTTTTCATCAGAGTCATCTACCCTACAACTTATCAGCGGTTATTCACCAAAAGAAGCCGTCGCTATCAAAAAAAAAATTTTTTTTGAGTTTTTTAGGGAATTTTAGGGAGTTTTAGGAGAGAACACTCATGGTGACAAAAATTATTTAGGTATATTTTTTCATTAATTTTTTAATTGAATAATTAACATTATTTTAAATAATGTTTAAATTAAGTAATTAAACAATATTTTTCTACAAAAATACACCAATCTTCCGTGCTCTTCCAGAACGATTCAGAGTCAGTTCCCATTCAAGTACAACACGTGTGTGTTCACTGGCTATGCATTATTCCAAGCAAATCCAATAATATCAACTAATTCGGTCGATTTTGCGACGACGTTTTAATGACATTTTCTCGCTTAAAATTTAAATTTCATCATATTCAAAGATCTTCAACGAAATGGACAAATAATGGAAACCGGTAAAGTGTGCATTGCGTGATGAGCGTGTGCATGCGAGTGACAAGCTGAATGCAAACAAGCAGCTCGAGCAGACAAAAAACAGCCTTCAAGTTATTCTTATCGTACTTGTCAAGTTACTCTTATCGTACTTTTTTTTTAATAAAGAGATTGCTGCCATAAATTTGTTGAATGTTTAGTGCTCTTCTTAAGGACCCAGGAAATTAACATGAGAATCAATCAACCATAAACAAACAATTTAAAAAATTATATATATTATTCAGAAAAGTCCCCTAGATCGCGATAAAAGCCATTTGTGCGCGTGTATGATCCCTAACTGATCTTTTGAATCGCCTGTAGCTTTGGTATCACCAGGTCTTCCTCTTCTTTCCCGGACACACCTGAACTCCTCTACTTGCCCTTTAACCATGCAGTCATGTCACTATCGCAAGACAAAAAAGGAA